TGAGTGCCTATATCTTTTTGAATTAGTGTTTTTATTTTCTTTGAGTATATACTCAGGAGTGGAATTGCTGGATCCTATGATAGTTCTATTTTTAATTTTTTGAGGAACCTTCATAATGTTTTCCATAGCAGCTGCATCAATTTACATACCCACCAACAGTGCATGAGTGTTCTCTTTTCTCCACATCCTCACCAACATTTATTGCTTGTCTTTTTGATACTAACCATCTGACAGGTGTGAGATTTTATCTCATTGAGGTTTTGATTTGCATTTCCCTTATGATTAGTGATGTTGAGCATCTTTTCATGTGCCTGTTGGCCCTCTGTGTATCTTCTTTTGAAAAATTTCTATTCACATCCTCTGCCCATTTTTTAATTAGGTTGCTTGTTTTTTTTGGTATTTAGTTGCATGTGTTCTTTATATATTTTGGATATTAACCTCTAATACAATATATCATTTGCAAATGTTTCTCCAATTCAGTAGGTTACCTTTTCATTTTCTTGATGGTTTGCTTCACTGTTCAAAAGCTTTTTAGTTTAATGTAGTCTCATTTGTTTATTTTCGCTTTTGTTCCCCTTGCCTGAGGAGACATATCCAAAAAAATCTTGTTAAGGCTGATGTCAAAGAATTTACTACCTATGTTTTCTTCTTGGAATTTTATGGTTTCAAGTCTTACATTTAAAGTGTTTAATCCATTTTGAGTTTACTTTTTGTATGTCGTGCAAGAAAGTGGTCCAGTTTCATTCTTTTGCATGTAGCTGTTCAGTTTTTCCAACACCATTTATTAAAGAGACTGTCTCTTCCACATTGTATACTCTTGCCTCCTTTGTTGTATATTAGTTGACTATATAAATATGGGTTTATTTCTCGGCTCTTTATTCTGTTCCATTGGTCTGTGTGTCTGTTTTTGTGCTGGTACCACACTGCCTTGATTTTTATAGTTTTGTACTACAGTTTATAATCAGGTAGAATGGTAATTCCAGCTATGTTCTTTCTCAACATCTCTGTGGCTATTTTGGAACTTTTGTGGTTCCATACAAATTTTAGGATTATTTGTTCTAGTTGTGGGGAAAATGTCATTAGTATTTATTTAGGGATTGTTTTGAATCTGTAGATTGCTTTGGGTAGTGTGGACATTTTAACAATATTAATTCTTCCATTCCCTGAGGATGGCATACTTTTCCATTTATTTGTGTCATCTTCAATTTCTTTCATCAATGTCTTATAGTTTTTAATATACAGGTCTTTCACCTCCTTGCTTAAATTTATTCCTAGATATTGTATTATTTTTGATTCAATTGTAAATAAGATTGTTTTCTTAATTTCTCTTTCTGATGGTTCGTTATTAGTGTATATCAATGCAACAGCTTTCAGTATATTAATTTTGTACACTGCTTTTTCTTTTAATTCATGTATTAGTTCTAGTAGATTTTTGGGGGGATATTTAGGCTTTTCTATATAGTAACATGTCATCTGAAAATAGTGACACCTTTATTTCTTCATTTCTAATTTGAATGCCTTTTTTTCCCTTGCCTAATTGCTGAGGCAAGGACTTTCAAAACTATGTAGAAGAAAAGTGTCAAGAGTGGGCATCATCTTCTTATATTTTATATTAGAGGACAAGCTTTCAGCTTTTCAACATTGAGCATGAGGTTACCTGTGGGTTTGTCATATATGGCCTTTATTATGTTGAGCAATTCTTGCTTTATAACCACCTTGTTGAGAGTTTTTATCATAACTCGATGTCTAATTTTGTGAAATGCTTTATCTGCATCTGTTGAGATGATTATATGATTCATATCCTTTGTTTTGTTAATGTGGTGTATCTCATTGATTGATCTGTGAATATGGAACCATCCTTGCATCCCTGGAATACATCCCATTTGATCATGGTGTATGATTCTTTTAAAGTATTGTTGGATTCAGTTTGCTGATATTTTGTTGAGGATTTTTGCACCTAGGTTTATCAGCGATTGGCTTGTAATTTTCTTTTTTTGTAGTGCCTGGGGTTTTCATATCACAGTAATGCTGGCCTTGTAAAATTATTTTGGAAGTGTTTCTTTGTCTTCAGTTTTTTGGAGTAATTTGAGAAGGATAGATATTAACTCTTTTTTAAATGTTTGGTAGAATTCACATGTGAAGTCATCTAGTCCTGGAGTTTTTCTTGGGGGGGTGGTTTGATTACTAATTCAATTTCATTGCTAGTAATTAGTGTATTAAGATTTTCTATTTCTCCATGATTCAATCTTGGAAGATTGTATGTTTCTAGGAATTTATCCATTTCTTCTAGATTGTCCAATTTGTTTGGTTATAATTGTTAATAGTACTTTCTTATGATCCTTTGTTTTTCTGTGGTATTAATTCTAACTTCTCTTTCATTTCTAATTTTAATTATTTGGGCTCTCATTTTTATAATGAGTCTTGCTAAAGCTTTATTAATTTTGTTTACCTTTTCATTGAACCAGCTTTTTGTCTTATTGATCTTTTCCATTATTTTTTGTCTCTATTTTATTGTTTCTGCTGTGATCTTTACTATTTCCTTCCTTTTACTAACTTTGAGTTATATTTGTTCTTTTTTTTCCCAGTTCCTTTAGGCATAAAGTTAGATTGTTTATTTGAGATTCCCCCCCCTTTTTTTTTGAGGTTGGACTGTATCACTATGAACTTCCCCCAGTTCTAACTGCTTTTGCTGTGTCCCATTAGATGTTGGAATGTTGTTTTCCATTTTCTTTTGTCTCAAGGTATTTTATAAATTTCCACTTTGATTTTTTCATTGACTTGTTGGTTGTTTAATAGCATGTTGTTTAGTCTCCACATGTTTGTGTTTTTTCCAGTTTTCTTTTTGTCATTGATTTCTAGTTTCATGCCATTGTGATCAGAAAAGATACTTGATATGATTTCAGTCATCTTAAATTTATTGATCCTTGTTTTGTGGCCTAACATGTGGTCTATCTTGGAGAACGTACCATGTACACTTGAAAGAAAACTATGCATTCATCTCTTTTGGAGTGGAATATTCTATATACATCTATTAAATCCAATGAGTCTAATGTGTCATTTAAGGTTGATATTTTCATATGGAGTTTCTGTCTGGATGATCTATCCATTGCTGTAAATGGGGTGTTAAAGTATCCTACTGTTATTTTATTGCTTTCAATTTCTCCCTTTAGGTCCATTGAAACTTGTTTTATATATTTTGGTGCTTCTGTGTTGGATGCATATATATTTATTAATGTTATATGTTCTTTCTGGATTGACCTCTTTATCATTCTGTAGTGTCCTTCTTTGACTTTTTTTACAGCATTTGTTTTAAAGTCTCTTTTGTGTGATATGAATATAGATACACCAGCTTTCATTTTGTTTCCATTTGCATGAAATATCTTTTTCCATCTCTTCACGTTTAGTCTGTGTGCATCTTTACTTCTAAAGTGAGTCTCTTGTAGGCAGCATAAAGATGTATCTTGTTTTTTTATCCATTCAGCCACTCTTTGTCTTTTGATTGGTGAATATAGTTCATTTACATCTAAACTAATTATTGATAAGTGTGTCCTTATTGACATGTTGCTAATTATTTTCTGCCTGTTTCTGTAGTTCCTCCCTGTTCCTTTTTTCTTCTCTTTCTCTCTTCCTCTGTGTTTTGAAGGCTTTCTTTGATGTTATGTTTAGATTTCTTTATCATTTTATTTTGTGTATTTATAAGTTTTTCTTCTTTGTGGTTACCGTGAGGCTCACATATAACATCCTATGTGTATAACAGTCTTTTTAAGATGATAGCAACCTGAATTTGAACAGATTCCAAAACTTAACATTTTTACTCACTCCTACACATTTTGCATTTTTGAAGACACATTTTACATCTTTTTATTTTATGCATCCATTAACCAATTATTGTAATTTTAGAAGCAATTCTTTTGTCTTTATACCTTCATACTTGCTTTATAAGTCATTGATCCACTATCTTTACAATAAATTTATCTTTTCCAGTGATATGATTACTTTGTATGTTTTCCTATTATTTATTGTTTTTTGTGAGGAAGACCAGCCCTGAGCTAACATCTGTCACCAGTCCTCCACTTTTTGCTGAGGAATACTGGCCCTGAGCTAACATCCATGCTCATCTTCCTCCACTTTATATGGGAAGCCACCACAGCATGGTTTGACAAGCGGTGTGTTGGTGCATGCCTGGGATCCAAACCCCAGGCCGTGGCAGTGGAGTGTGCACACTTAACCACTACACCAGTGGGATAGCCCCTCCTATTATTAATTAGTGTCTTTTCTTTTCAGCTGAGAGAAGTCTCCTTAACATTTCTTGTAAAGCCAGTTTAGTGTTGATGAACTCCTTTAGCTTTTGCTTACCTGGGAAACTCATAATCTCTTCTTCAATTCTGAGTGATGACCTTGCTGGGTAAATAATTCTTAGTTGGGATTTTTCTTCCTTTAGTCACTTTGAATATGTCCTGCCACTCTCTTCTGGCTTATAAAGTTTCTGCTGAAAATTCTGCTGAAAGCCTTATGGGCTTTCCCTTGTATATAATAAATTGATTTTCTTTAGCTACTTTTAAGATTCTCTCTTTATCCTTAACTTTACCATTTTAATTATCATGTGTCTTGGTGTGGTTGTCTTTGATTTCATCTTATTTGGAATTCTCTGGATTTCCTAGACCTGGATGTCTGCTTCCTTTCCCAGATTAGGGAAGTTTACAGCCATTATTTCTTCAAGTACATTTTATGACCCTTTGTCTCTCTCTTCTTCCGGGACACCTAAAATGTGAATGTTATTCTGCTTGATATTGTCCCAGAGGTCCCTTAAGGTATCTTTTCCTTTTAAATTTTTCTTTATTTTGCTCCTCTGTCTCAGTAAGATCCATTGTTTTGTCTTCCAGCTTGCTGATTTGTACTTCTCCTTCATCCATTCTTCTAGTCAACCCCTCTAGGATGTTTTTCAGTTCAGTTATAACTTCTGATTGGTGGTTTTTATGTTTTTTACCTCTTTGTTGAAGTTATCACTGTGTTCATCCCTTCTTCTCTCAAGGTGAGTGAACATTTTTATGACAGTTACTTTGAATTCATTATCAGGTAGGTTGTTTGTCTCCATTTCATTAAGATGTTTTTCTGAGGGTGTGTCTTATTCTTTGATTTGGAACATGTTCCTTTATCTCTTAATTTTGCCTGACTCTCTGTGTTTGTCTACATGTATTAGATTAAACAGCTACCTCTCCCAGTCTTGAAGGAATTGAAGGAATTGTCTTGTGTAGGAGGTGATTCATGGTGCCCAGAAGTTCCATCTGCCCTGCCCTCCAGAGTCAGGTACTCAAGGGGTGTCTCTCATGCAGACTGGTGCCTCCACCAGACGTAGCAGGGCTGTGGCTGCTGTGAAGTGAAGGCAGGGCATGATTGTCTCACCTAGTGTGGTTATGATGCAGTTGTGGCATATGGTGGGTGGGGCTTGGTACATTTGATCAGACTTGTTGTAGGGTACCTCCTCCATGGGGAAGGTGAGATGCAGGATGCTCACCCATCCTAGTTGCAGTGTGGCTACAGTGCAAAGTGAACAGATCTCAGGGTGCTCAGCATTCCTTGTTGTGGTGTGGCTGCTATGTGGGTTGAGCTGGGCACAAATATACACACTGTTGCTAGTAGCCTACAAAAAGGGCACCAAAGATGAGACCTGCCAGCTCTGTCACCAGCAAGTTAGAATGAGATTGCAAAAGTGGCATCTACCAGCATTTCCATCCCTGCAGAAAGTCACTTCAGTTTCCTACTTCTCCAGCAACCACTTTAGTATTAGTAAATGGGTCTCCTCACTTATTGTTTAGGTGCTTTTCAAACTATTGTTTTTGTGCTGGATCTCAGGGTGAGTGGGTCTGCATGTGAGCCCTTTAACAGCGGTTCTCACCTGTTGTGAAGGGTGGGCAGAGCACAGAGCATGTCCACTATTGTTAGCAGGCTACTGGGAGGGCACCAAAAATGGAAGCTGCCAACTATATCATCAGCAAGTTAGAATAAGATTGCAAAAATGAGGCCTACCAGTGTTTCCATCCCTGGAAAAATTCACTGTAGGTTCCTGCTTCTCTGGTAACCACTTAGAGTTAATAAGTGGGTTTCTCACACTTAAGCACTTTTAAAACTGTTGCTTTTTCACTTTATATCAGGGTTAGTGGGTCTGTACATGAGTCCTTTAAGAGCAGGCTCTTTGTTCTCTACAGTTCTGTGTTTTCCCTGGACTTAACCTCTGTTGATTTTCAAAATGAGATGTTTTGGGGCTTTTCATTACAGTGCTGGACCCAAGGGGCAGGGTGCCTGATGTGTGGCACAGTCCCTTCACTCCTTGAAGGAAAGTTCCATATTTTGGGGATCCCTTTCCAATTGTGGGACATTGCACTCTGAGTGGGGTCCCAGGTGAGACCAGGTGCTTCCCCTACCCTTCCCGATGTGTCTTTTTTTCTTTTGTTTTAGAGGTACTGTTAATCCAGTTCTAAGTTCTTTTTCAAATGAAAAGTCTTCCATATATAGCTGTAAATTTGTTGTATCCTTTGTAGGATGTGAATTCACGGTCTTCCTATGCTCCTATGTTGAAATTCCAGATCTGACTACATTTTAATGTCTTAATTTCCCTAAATGTCTCATCCTTGCCTCTTCTTAAGGCCTTGATTTTTTTTAATTTTATTTCTCTGCCTGTAACATCTTGTACCCAGGCTGCTCCCTTTCAGATAAGAGAGAAATCAGCCCCTCAGTCTACCCATATACTACCCAGAATTCTATGAGAAAATTCTTTTCTTTTCTTTCTATCCTAATGGAGGAGTCAGTAGTTGGGATGCTTCCTCCCAATCTCAATGCACTGTGCCAGGGAGGGGTGGGACAATGGTGAACAAAGGTACCATGAGATTTCCTAGCATTTTAAGTGTAGTCTTTCTTTTCTAGGCATTTGCTTTGTTGCTTCAGTTTCTTAACTCTTTTCCAGAGGTCTCACAGAGCTACTTCGGTCTGTGTGTTAGTGTTTCCATGGAAGAAGGAGTGACTAGAGATTCCTTGTCAGACATCTTGCTGAAATCACTCTCCAATGATATCTTTTTCTAATCATGTTTGTCTATTTTTATATCTTCATTTTCTAAGGTTGTGGCTCACCTGGAAACTATGCTAGGAGCCTCGGTTCAACATGTTAAACTGAAGTAAATAAAGTATTCTTTTCAGTTGAGGATAACAATGATGTCAGGAAAGGGACATGATGGGAAGGTATGTTCACTTCTTTCCTTCCTTCTGTAAATATTTATTGAGCTTCTGTTGTGGGACATATGTTATAGATATGGAGAAATAAAATTCATAACAAAAATAAGTGACAAAGTTAAATAATTGAAGTCTATATGGCTTGGTGAGTGCTATAATGGTGTAAGCATATATAGTTGTAGGAACATAGAGGGTGGGCCCATCTCTATATTGAAGTCAGTAAAGGCTTCTTGGTGGAGGAGTTTCTATCCCCCAATACTTGAATGATTTGGAGGCCTTAATCAGGTAAAGAAGTGATAAAGGCTATTCCAGGCAGAGAGGACATCATGGACAAGGGCACAGGGATGTAGATTTATCCTAGTATGACATGTGTTGGATATCAGAGCATTTGGCTTTCAATAAAGTATAAAGTGAGTAGGTAACCCCAATTGTCAAGAGCCCACTTTGCCTCCCCTCTCAGAGGTTTTTTAGAGACATGCATATACTTATATGCTTTTTTCCTCTTCCTGTTCATATCTGCTAAGACTAGAAGCTGATGTGGGTACTTGTGAAAGATACTTTTCTTATGCTTTTTAAAGGCTTGTTAAGGATTTTAAATATCAACTCTTAAGAGAAATACGTTCATGCAGGTGTCTGGCCCACCCACCAGTGCACCTGAGGCAATAGAGTGTAGCCAGGCAGCAGGCAGCCCAGCCCAGGAACCAGCCCCACCTACCAGGAAGCCCATAGCAGGCTTGCAACACTGGTCCCCTCAAACAGCCACACAGAGGATCCGCCCCACCTACCAATGTCTGAAACACTTGCATGCTGCCGTGCCTGCGGCCTGCCCAGCCCATCAGCCATTCTGAAGCAGCAATGCACCACAGAACTGCATAGCCACTTGTTGCTGGAGGCCTGTACCATCTAAAGCAAGTTGACAACAGCTGCATACCTTGCAGCTAGCCTCATTGGAAGCCTTCCCTGCCCACAAATGCATCTGAGGCAGCTGAGCAATGCAGGGACATGCAACCAGCCACTCCAGGGGCCTGACACACCAGAAAAACAGCAGTAGTTCTTTGCTACCGGACCTCACAGCCAACCATGCCAGAGGCTTGTCCCACCCAATAACATGCCCATAGCAGGCGCACATGGCTGGGCCTCACAACCAGCCAGCCCAAGGACCACCTTAGCCTACTGGTGTGCCCACAGCAATAGCAACTCCATGACAACAGAGGGTACATGCAGCCCAAACAGGAGATACCCCTGGAGCATTTGGCAGGAATGACAAGAGGGGAGCAAATTCCTGGGCCCCATAAGACAACTCCTATATAAGGCCACACTTCCAAGATTTGGAAATGTAGCTGATCTACCTAACACATAGAAATAAGCACAGAGAAGTAGGCAAAATGGGAAGGCAAAGGAATATCTTCCAAATAAAAGAACAGGGCAAATTCTCAGGAAAAGAACTAAACAAAACAGAGATAAACAATCTACCTGATAAAGAGTACAAACTAATAGTCATAAGGATGCTTACTGAACTGGGGAAAAGAATAGATGAACACAGTGAGCACTTCAACAATGAATTAGAAAATATAAAGAAGAACCAATCAGAGCTGAAGAATACAATAATGGAAATGAAAAATTCACTAGAGGGAATAAACAGTAGAGTAAATGACACAGAATGGATCAGCAATCTGAACGAAAGAGTAGAGAAAATCACTCAAGCTGAACAGAAAAAGGAAAAAAGAACTAGAATGAGGATGGGGCTGGCCTGATGGCATAGTGGTTAAGTGCATGTACTCCACTTCAGTGGCTCAGGGTTCACAGGTTCGGATCCTGAACACGCACCGATGCACCACTTGTCAAGCCATGCTGTGGCAGTGCCCCATATAAAGTAGAGGAAGATGGGCATGGATGTTAGCCCAGGGCCAATCTTCCTCAGCAAAAAAGAGGAGGATTCACATCAGATGTTAGCTCAGGGCTAATCTTCCTCACACACAAAAAAAGAATGAAGATAGTCTAAGGGAGCTCTGGGACAACATCAAGCATACTAACATAAGCTTTATAGGTGTCTCAGAAGGAGAAGAGAGAGACAAAGGGACAGAGAACTTATTTGAAGAAGTAATAGCTACAAACTTCCCTAACTTGGGGAAGGAAACAGACATCCATGTACAGGAAGTACATAGACTACCAAACAAGATGAAACCAAAGAGACACACATGAAGACACATTATAGCTAAAATGTCCAAAATTAAAGATAAAGAGAAAACTCTAAAAGCTGCAAGAGAAAAACAACAAGTTACATACAAAGGAAACTCCATAAGGCTATCAGCTGACTTTTCATCAGAAACCCTACAGGCTACAAGGCAGTGGTACAATATACTCAAAGTACTGAAAGGTAAAAATGTACAATCAATGATTGTACACCCGGTAAGGTTATCATTCCAAATGTTGAGAGAGATAAAAAGTTTTCAAACAAGCAAAAACTAAAGGTGTTTATCACCACTAAACTGGCCTTACAATAAATGTTAAATGGATTTATTTAAGTGGAAAAGAAAAGACTACAAATAGGAATAATAAAATTATCAAAGAAAAAACATCACTGGTAAAGGCAAATATACAGTAAAGGTAGTGAATCAACCGTCTATAAGTATGAAGGTCAAAAGACAAAAGTACTAAAATCATCTATATCTATGATAAGAGGTTAAAGGATACACAAAAATAATAGAGATAAAATATGATAACAAAAACAAAACATCGGAGGAAAGTAAAAGTGTAGGACTTTTAGTAAGAGGTCAAACTTAAGAGACCATCGACTTAATATAGATTGCTATTTACATAGATTATTATATATGAACCTCATGGTAACCACAAACCTATAATAAATACTCAAAATATAAAGAGAAAGGAACTGAAAGGAACCAAAACACAACAGTAAAGAAAGCCATAAAATCACAAGGGAAGAGAGTAAGAGAAGAAAAAAGGAACAGAAAACAACTAAAATACACAGGAAAATAGTAGCAAAATGGCAATAAGTGCATACTTATCAATAGCTACTTTAAATGTCAATGGACTAAATGCTTCAATTTAGTCCAAAAGACTGAATGGATAAAAACATAAGACCCACATATATGCTGCATGCAAGAGACACACTTCAGACCAAAGGACACTCACAAACTGAAAGTGAAGGAGTGGAAAAAGATATTGAATGCAAATGGAAGCAAAAAGAAAGCTGGGGTAGCAATCCTTATATCAGACAAAATAGACTTTAAAACAAAAAGTGTAACAACACACAAAGAAAGGCATTACATAATGATAAAAGGAACAATCAAACAAGAAGATATAACACCTGTAAATATCTATGAACCCAATATTCGAGCACATGAATACATAAAGCAAATATCAATAGACGCAAAAGTACAAATTCACGGTACCACAATAATAGTAGGGAATTTTAACACCCCACTTTCCAATGAATAGATCATCCAAACCGAAGATCAATAAGGAAACATTGGCCTTAAATGACACATTACACCAGATCTTAGATATATACAGAACATTCCATCTAAAAACTGCAGGATACATATTCTTTTCAAATGCACATGAAACATTTTCCAGTATAGATCACATATTAGGCCACAAAACAAGTCTGGATAATGGTTGAAATAATATCAAGCATGTTTTCTTACCGCAATGGTATTGAACTAGAAATCAACTATGGACAGAAAACTGGAAAAGTCACAAATATGTGGAGATTAAACAAAATGCTACTGAACAACTATTGGGTCAACAGAGAAATCAAAGGAGAAATCAAAAATACCTGGAGGCAAATGATAATGAAAATTCTTACCAAAATCTGTGGGATGCATTAAAAGTAGTAGTAAGAGGGAAGTTTACAGCAATACAGGCTTACCTCAAGATACAAGAAAAATCTTAAAAAACCATCTAAAATTATACCTAAAGTAACTAGAAAAAGAAGAAAAAACAAGATGGCCAAATCAAAAGCAGAAAGGAAATAATAAAATTCAGAGTGGAAATAAGTGAAATGGAGACTAAAATACCAAAAGAAAAGATCAATGGAACTAAGAGCTGGTTCTTTGAAAGGATAAAAAAAAATTGACAAACCTTTAACTAGACTCACCAAGATAAAAAGAAAGAAAGCACAAATAAGTAAAATCAGAAACAAAAGAGGAGAAATTACAATAGATAGCACAGAAATTCAAATGATTATGAGAAAATGCTGTGAAAAGCTATACACAAAAAATTTGGATAACCTAGAAGAAATGGATGAATTCTTAGAATTATACAACTTTTGAAAACTGAGTCAAGAAGAAATAGAGAATCTGAATAGACCCATTCAATAGACAGAAAGGAGATTGAAACAGTAAAGGAAAACCTCCCCAAAAGCAAAAGTCCAGGACCAACTGGCTTCCCTGGTGAATTCTATCAAACATTCAAAGAAGATTTAATACATATCCTTCTCAACCTCTTCCAAAAAAAACTGAAGAGGACAGGAAGATTCCTAACTCATTTTATGAGGCCAACTTTACCCTGATACAAAAATCAGACAAGGACAACACAAAAAAAAGAAAATTATAGGCCAATATCACTGATGAATATGGTTGCAAAAATCCTCAACAAAATATTAGTAAATCAAATATAACAATATAGTAAAACGATCATACTCCATGGTCAAGTGGGACTTATTCCAGAGATGCAAGGATGGTTCAGCATCCATAAATCAATTATGATGATACACCACCTTAACAAAATGAAGAATAAAAATCACATGATCATGTTAATAAATGCAGAGAAATCATTAAACAAGACACAGCATCCATTTATGATAAAAACTCTGAATAAAATGTGTATAGATGGAAAGTACCTCTCAATATAATAAAGGCCATATATGACAAAGCCATAGCTAATATCATACTCAACGGAGAAAAACTGAAAGCTGTCCCTCTAAGAACAGATACCAGACAAGGATGCCCACTTTCCTCACTCTTATTTAACATAGTATCGGAAGTCCTAGCTTGAGCCATTGGGCAAGAAAAAGAAATAAAATTGATCCAAACTGGAAAGGAAGAAGTAAAATTGTCAATATTTGCAGATGACATAATATTATATATAGAAAATCCTAAGGAATCCACCAAAAAACTATTAGAAATAATGAACAAATACAGAAAAGTTGCAGGGTGCAAAATCAACATGCAAAAATAAGTTGTGTTTATGTCAAGTAACAATGAACTAGCAGAAAGAGAAATCAAGAATACAATCCCATTTACAATAACAACAAAAAGAATAAATAGCTAGGAATAAATTTACCCAAGGAGATGAAAGACCTATACACTGAAAACTATAAGACATTATTGAAAGAAATTGAAGAATACAGAAATAAATGGAAAGATATTTCATGCTCATGGATTGGAAGAAGTAACATAGTTAAAATGTCCATTTTCCCTAAAGAAATCTAAAGATTCATTACAGGCCCAATCAGAATCCCAACTATATTTTTCACTTATATGTGGAAGATAAAAAACAACAACAGACAAACACATAAACAAAGAGAATAGTTTGGTGATTACCAAACAGGAAGTGGGGACTGAGAAGGGTGAAAGAGCTAAAAGTGCACATGTGTACAGTATTAGAGAGCCATGAAAAAAAAAAAGACAAGTTAAATTTGACATCATGAAGAAATATAAAAATTATTTTGAAGTCTTTTTAACTTTTGTATGCATGATTGCTAGTAGGAATGTGTGTGTTGGAGTGTGACAGACCCAAATTTAAATCATGAGCCACTTCCTAGCTCTTTTTTTGACCAGAGGAAGTTACTTATCTATTCTTTACTCATCTGTGAAATAAATCTATTGATATTGTGTTACAGTATTTTTTTGTGGATTAAGAATATTTCTTGTTGGGCCAGCCCCGTGGCTTAGCAGTTATGTGCGCGCGCTCCGCTGCTTGCGGCCCTGGTTCGGATCCCGGGCGCGCACCGACGCACCGCTTCTCCAGCCACGCTGAGGCCGCGTCCCACATACAGCAACTAGAAGGATGTGCATCTATGACATACAACTATCTACTGGGGCTTTGGGGGAAAAATAAAATTAATTAAAAAAAAAAGAATATTTCTTGTAAAGTGCCTGACATATAGTGTCCCTTCAATAAAGGAGAACTCTCATGATCCCTTTCTACCATAAAGAAAATAAGTTATCAGTCACTATACTTACGTTTCAGAAAAAAATAGCCTGTCTCTTTTATATAAGCACTCTGGAAATCTCTCAAAATAGGAAGTTCATGTAAAGCCACAAGCTGAGCATGTTTGGATCTGAGACCTAGAGCCATAATCAGAGTATTAGACCAAAACTAAAGCAAAGATTAGTAGCAAAAAGTTCATTCTGAGTTCACTTGAAGGTGATTTTCTCTTGTAACTTGGAGAAACTGTCAACATGGGTGCCAATTGTTAAAATTGATCCTGAACTTAAAATCCTGAAATAAGACAAAAGGGGGAAACCTCTGGTCTCTCACCTTGAATAATGATGCCTGATTCAGAGCTGATAGTCATAATCACTCTAGCATGTTTCTCACTAATGGTTCTTCTCTTAAGAACAGATACATTATATGGGTACTTGAAGCTTTTACTTGGAAAAACGATGTGGCTATTTTCTCAGCCATACTTTTTTTATGGCAATGTAACTGCTTTATTGTAAGAAGTTTATTGAGTTATAATTTACATACCATGGAAATGGCCCATTTAAGGCATAAATTTCAATGATTTTTAATATATTCACACAATTGTGCAACTATCACCGCAATCAATTTTAGAATATTTTCATCACCACAAAAAGAAACTCATACCCATTAGCAGTCATCCCTTCCAATCTCCTCACCACTCCCCAGCATTAAGCAACAACTAATCTACTTTCTGTCTCTATAGATGTGCTTGCTTGGACATTCAAATAAATGGATTCATACATTGTGTGATGTTTTATTACTGGCTTCTTTCACTTAGCATCATGTTTTGAAGTTTCAACCATGTTGTACCATGTATCAGGACTTTATTCCTTTTTATGGCTATATAATAGTCTATTGTATTGATACATTTTCTTCACTCATTCATCAGTTGATTGGCATGTGGCTATTGTTAATAGTGCTGCTATGAAAATTCCTATATACATTTTTGTCTTAACCATAGGTTTTTGAGAGAATACTTGTGTTTCCTTTCTTTTCTTCAATCTCAGGAATGTGTGCAATTTGTAGATCTGCTTGGTGACCATGGAAAGCCTATCAATACTCTGTGGCAATTGATCAAATGGTGCCTGGGCCTGTCACTGCACACTATCCCTTCCTATTGGTATATAAATCATTTTTTCTCCAAGACTAGTTTGATGTCTTTGGGGGATGGAGGAACATTTTAACAAAAGTATACTAGTAAGAACCACTTGCAAGGCTTTGAGGAAAGCTGAAATATATGAACAAGCGAATCAGTACCCACCATGTACTGATCTCTCTCTACGTGCCAAGCACTGTCCTGTGCACTTTATCTCATTGATTTTCACTGTACCTATTATAATGCCCCTTTTATATGTGTAGACACCTTAATTCAGAAAGGTTAGATAGCTACCAAGTTAAGGAGCACTCTTCAAATGCTTGTCTTACAAACTGAAATGCCTATGATTCTTTCTCTTTGTAATGAATTGTAGTTAAATATCTAAATATAAATTTTGGACAATATATTTGACTTTAGGGATAGGCTTACTTAGGAATATTTTGGTAAAGTAATCTATCAAAATGTTAATTATCAGTCATGTAGAGTAAGTTCAGTTGAAGCAGCTCATCAAAGATATTAGTGTGGCTATGGACACTTGTTGCAGAGTTGATGATTGTTGCTATTGTAAATAAATGCTTATTGAGTACCTGAGTGCTGGATATTAGATTTTTGGCACCTTTACATGTGTTTTCCCTTTAAAAATTCAAGAAAATCTGATAGTACCTAAGTATTGTTATTTTATCATAGTGAGAAACTGAGGCTAATAGAGCTTAGTTAACTTATTTCAAACTGGGGTCTATTCTTAACTTTTCCAGATGTTAGCTTGCTTAACCTCTATTCAGTTGCTTATATTGTCATTGTTTCATTTTTCTCATCTGTAAAATGGGATTAATAAAAGTATGTACTACTTATGTGGTTGAGTGGATTAAATAATATGTACTTTCTTGCATTAGTTTGTCAGTTAAATGAGATTATGCATCTAAAGCATGTGAAATACAACCTAACCACACATATACTGGGAATTTCAAGTTTATTTATGAAGATGGAAATACAGATCTTGGAACATCATAAAGACTCAATAAATAGAAGCTATTTTTATTATTGTTATTATCACATAGCTCTACTAATGAGGTCTCTATCATCAGAGATTGCTCTATTGGAGAAGACACTGTGCTTTCAATGGCTATAGTACTCTGATTCCATCAGGAGAATATTTCTGAGGACACTGAAAGCACTCATTTGCCAAATATTTGTCAGAGTGACTTTCAAAAGAATCTTGACAGTATTATAGTCACTGATGTCCTCTTTCTTATGCATAGCCATGAAAATTCAAGGAGAGTGGTATACTGGTATCATCTTTAAGCAAATCCTGAGTTGTCTGATGCCAGCTCAGTTCACACAAGAGATCACATTTTATCATCCTAGATCATGTCAGTGGCTCAGCTGAGCTGTCATGTGTTGAGATGGCCATTTAAAGCAACACGCCAAAATAGAAGTAACAGTGAAGCCTTTACTCACAGCAATAGTATAAGCAGGAGGCTAAAACTGGAGAAAACACTGACTTCCCCTCTGTTCCTTTCCCCCATGGAAAGTTTCACCAGTCAAGGGTCAAATGGATCAGCACAGATGTGAATGTCTTCTCGCTGTTAAAGGAGCCCTGAAACAAAAGACTCCAGCAGCTTTATGGGACCTTACATCAGGGATAGGATGAGGGAGAGAAAATAGGAGTGGAAAAGCCCTGAGAAGTGAGTCAGAGTGGGGAAAAGTGTCTCCAAGGTTTCCCCCTTCCCTCCCCATAAAGAAGCCTCAGCAGAGACACCTGAGGAAGACCTGTGCCAAAGGCCTAGGATAAAGAGATATAGGAACGGAGGTGCCTTGGCTAGAAATGCAAATATGCACAAGAACATGACAGGCCAGAAGGTCCTGAGTTCTTGACTACAACACCCTAAAGAAATTGCAGTGCACTGGCTGTGCTTCATGTCTGGTTTGAGAAGGGCAGCTTGCCCTCTTGAGTCTTCCAAGGTAAAGACTTTGTAATTGTCAATGGTCACACCTGAAAAATCACACATGGGAATTTTAGCCAAGAGCCAGAATCTTCAGATAAAAGTATTCCAAACCATAGCAAAACTTTTATTCATAGAGATGTACATTGAAGCATGTTTTACAATAACAAAAAATTGGAACCACCCTAAAAGTTTAGCAACAGAGGAATAGGTAGCAAATTATGGTTCATATATAGGATAAAATTGCATGTAGTCACTTACGGCCAAGTTTATGAAGCTGTGCTAATGACATGGATAGTTATGTATGTTAAAATAGTAAGTGGAAAAAGTGGAATATTTTACATATGGTATGAGCTCTAGTACCATACATATAATAATTGCATAGAAAAGTACTTGAACTAAGTATACTAACATGTTTACAATTGTTTCCCTTGGACACTCTATTTTTGAGTGCGTTCTTCATCCTATTTTAATCCTTTGAAATTTTTCTTAATTTTTATAAGACTTACGTGTTCATTTCATAATAAAGAAAATAAACTTTTTAAAATAAGTAAACTTAATTTTAAAATAAATATTTAATATTAAATACTGAATATTTGTGATGTTTAAGCACTTATGGTGTGTAACTAATCTGCAAAATATGTATACATATGTGTATTTATGATCTTTTTATAAAGTAATTTAAAACTTGAACGTAAATTAGCTAGAATCTTTTAAAAATATAATTCTATTATAAAGTTTTGCTAAGAATTATCTGCATGAAGATGTTTATTGCAGAATTTAAATTTTGGAAACAGTCTATATGACCAACAATTATGGGCTATTTAAAGAAAAAACACCTATGGTACATTCCTACAATTAAAATGTTATGGGGGCCAGCCCCAGGGCGTAGTGGTTAAGTTTGGTTCACTCTTCTTTGGCCACCGGGGTTCGTGTGTTCAGATTCTGGATGCAGACCTACATCACTCATCAGCCACACTGTGGTGGCGACCCACATACAAAATAGGGGAAGATTGGCACAGATGTTAGCTCAGGGAAAATCTTCTTCAACAACAACAACAACAAAATATTATGTAGTCATAATGTAAACATTGTCAATGATGGTTTTCAATGATGTTAAAAATCCGTATGAGATATTATTCTGTGGGAAAGGCTAGGGACTCTATATACAGCATTACCACAAAAAACTAGGAGTTAACATTAAATGATCAACAATGCTCATGTATGTATGGCAAGGTTATGAGGTTTCTTTTTCATCACTTTCTTACTTTCTCAATGTTCTAGAATTACTATGTATTACCTGAATAAGAAAGGATGTAAAGAACACTAGAATTTAAAATAAAGTTTTGTACCTTAACTTCTTATAAATTATTCTGTAGGACTGGCCATGTTGGAGGAAAACCTCAAATATAGCAGTGAGAAACACAAAAAGTTTAAGGCAGTGGAAGGAAGCCTGCATAAAGAGCTGGTGGAAATGCTAGGTGATGATGGTATCTTCTTACATCCCTCCCATCCCACAGTGGCTCCCAAGCATCGTGTTACTCTGACAAGGCCTTTCAACTTTGCTTATACAGGTACCTAACCATACTTTCTAGTCTGTAATCTTAAAGAAATGGAGCTGTTTTCCAAGAAAAACATAATTTCATTTTGCTGTTGGACAAGTTTTACACACGCATGTACGAAAATGTTGTGTAATTAAAAACAAATTCCATAAAACAGTTGCTATTGTCATATATCAAAGATATTTTGCTGATATCTGCATTCTGCCCAAGAACCCTGCAAGTGAGTATGAGTATCTATATTTTACAGCACTGAGCCTCAGGGAGGTTCAGTGACTTGTCTTCACTCACACAGTGTGAGCTCACTGAATCCAAAGTCTACCTTGTCTACTCTGATGCATAGTAAAGTCAACTCAGCCTTTTTCCCAGAATCTATGGCTTCCCAGATGCTAGTACAAAATATAATTCTCCAAGGTGACCATTTATTTGCCATAAGTATCATCCCTTCTGAGTTTGATTCATTCTATTGTTCACCCAATTAATTTGCTTGAGTTTTACCTGGTTTGGGAACTGTGGCTGAACCAAGGTTGTGTGAGGTCTAAAGGCCCCTGGAAATGTAGAGGTCAGTTTCTATGGTTTCTCTAATGTCTCTTCCAGGGAACCACACTACTCTTGGAGAGGGGATAGAAAGGCCTTTATCAAATACACATTCCTCCTGTCTGTTCCACTTTAACTTGGAATTCAGAGCTCTGCTTACTTGGTTTCAAATCCCTAGCTCTACAAGTTTCTACCTGTGCATACTGGAACAAGATATTGAATCCTTATGAACCTATTTCCTCATCTGGGATGTCAGGGTAATCCATGCTTTGCATCATTACTGTCAAGGGTAAATTAAATCATACATGTAAAGTACTTGGCATAACAGTAGTGGGGGATGAGAAGGAGAGGGTATCAAATAATAGTTTCTATCCTTTATTCACTCACCTTTACTGTAATTCTTGGCTTTGGTCACTCACCTCCATTTTCTTGAAACTTTGAAACAAGTTGCTGCCTAAATTGCCATGCCTCAGTTTCCATCACCTAGCTACTCAAGTTGTGAAGACAAGAAAAATACTATATAGGAGAGAACCCAAATAGAAAGTCACCAGTTACAGCTTTTTTCTTTTGTTTCTATTTTTTATTTTATCTTTTTATAAACATCTATATGTAGTTTAATAGCTTGCTCACTAATCATTAAGGAAATAAGACAAGATGTCTGCCTCCACCCATAGATCGGATGGATGTCCCACCATGAGATCAGATGCCTTTCCCACCTGGAGACCAGCCCCTATATAAGTGGCCTGTAGTCTTTGTTCTGTAAGATTTTTTTTTTTTGGACATTAGTCAGCCATCTTCCGTCTTGCTAGCAAGCTGTAGTAAATAATCCCTTCTCTCCTACCTCTTTGCCTCTTGACTATTGGCACATCTAGCAGCGAGCAGAAGACTCCCCCTGGGTGGTAACAAAACAAAATAGTTTCCTACTTTGGGGCTTTTGATATTTGCTCTGACTGGAAAATTCTTCCTCCATATAGTTACAAGATTTACTTCACTTAGGTCTCTGCTTAAATGTCATTTCCTCAGAGAGACCTCCCTGACCTCCTTATCTGAATTAGCATTCTGTGCCTGTCCATAACCCCCTATGCTGGCATAAGCTGAGATCATAATTTTCCTATCTCTCATAGCATAAATCCTTACACCTCTTCTACTTAAAATCCTTCCTCATAACTTTCAACAACACTTTCATTTGAATGTCTAACAGGCATTGCAAATTTAACATATCCAAAACTAAACTGCTCCTCCTTCAGTCTCCCACCTTAGTTAATAGCAACTCTATTCTTCCAGTTCCTCAGGCCAAAAATTGTGCAGTCATCCTTGACTCCCCTTGCTCTCTGACACTTCACACCTAAACATTATCAAATACTTTCAGTTCCATCTACAAAATATATCCAGAATCTTACCACTTACCACACTTGTTACTGCTACCATCCTGCTCCAAGTCACTAACGTGGTCCACCTGGATATCTACAATAGCCTAACTGTAATCTCCATACTTCTACCCTTGCTGTTATGTAAAATGTAATTCCGAGCCTGTCAATTCTCTGCTCAAAACTTCCAATGACTCTCAACTCACTTAGTGTAAAAAACTAATTAGCAAACATTTGGTCCTATCCAAAACGTCCATAAGACATTTGGTCCGTGCCAAAATGTCGTGGACAGTTAGTCCTATCCAAAACATCCATGAGCATATTTGGTCCATGCCAAATCGTTATGGACAGAACCAAATATCAAGGACCTCTTGGTGTGGACCAAATGTCTCCATGGACATTTTGGACAGGACCAAATGAGACCAGATGTCAAGACCATTTTGACATGGACCAAATGTCTGATGGACGTTTTGGACAGGACCAAATGGTCCTTCAGGTATCAAAGACCTCTTGGCATGGACCAAATGTCTGATGGCCAGGACCAAATGTCAAGGACATTTTGGTGTGGACCAAATATCTTATGGGCATTTTTGGATAACAATGAATGTCCTGCAAGGAAAAGACAACGTCTTTACAAATGCTTACAAGGCCCTACATATTTCTGACTCCTTGGTAACTCTCTGACTTCATCACCACTCTCTTCCTCACTCATGCTCACTTTGTTCTAACCACACTACCCTCTTTGCAGTCCCTCAAAATCAGCAGGTATGTTCTTACCTCAGGACTTGTGCATTCACAAATTCTGTCTCAAATACTTTGCCTATAACTGTCCACATGACTCCCTCAACCTCTGCAAGTCACTGATCAAACGTCACCTTCATAATGCCTTCCCTGTCTACTCCATTTCAAATTGTGATCCATTCCCATTCCCTGGAACTCCCTATTCTTATCTCCAATTTTATTTTCTTCCAGAGGACTTATCACCATCCAACATATAAACATTATTATGTTTATTGTCTGTCTCCCTGACTAGAAAGTAAGATCTATGAGGCAGAGATTTTGTCAGTTATATTTTATACTGTATCCCCACTGCCTAGAATAGTGACTTTTACAGAGTAGGCATGCAAGTATCTGTTCAATAAATGAGTGTATGGTTTCAGTTCTGTAAGATCTGATGAAAGAACTGCAGCTGTCGGAGTTAACAGAAAGAATGATTAGTTAGACTATACTGGAACATTAGAGGCATAATTCACTGAGCTTATTTCTTTTGGCACCACACATGGGCCAACTGAAGCCCTATGTTTTTACAATTGCCAGCATGAAACTTCAAAGATTCTAGCCTTTATAATCTAGGTCCCTACATCTGCCAATAGTGCTAAAATCACCACAATGATCAGACCTTCAAAGGTCTAAAGAAGTAAAGTCAATTTAACCAAGGGATAGAGGGGAAAGGCTGTGTGAGCAAAAAGTGCAGTTCCAGTGGTTAGAACATCATATTTGCATGTGTCCCTGTGCTGTTTCTCCTGGGCACTGGTGAGCACTGTGAGCTGTGCAGGGCCCAGACTATAGAGCTGTGCCCATTCCCCTGCCCTATGGATATTTTCATATCTCTGGTTGGGAAGGGATGAGAGATTTGGGAGTTTTAGTCCAGTCCTGAGTCACTGAGAGGGCAGGGGAGGCTGCAGGTGCAAAACATACTTGCCCACATCACCTCCACTCCTGCCGCCTCCTGACCCAGCATCCTTCTGAAGTTTTTTATTTATTTATTTTTATAACCTTTTTTACTTTTGAGTCTTTCCCCTTACTTTTTTTTCAACTCCCATATGTCCCTCCATTCCCCAATGCTGGGTCCTTTAGTCCTCATCATACCCTAATGCCTTTTTATCATTTCCTCCTGTTCATGCCCCCCTCCTTCTCATCAAGCACTTCCTCTTCCCACATCCGACTCTATGTCTTTCTCCAGCCCTCTCCCATATTCATTTATTATTTTCCAATGACCCTGGGTTCTTGATTCAGACACGTCCATTCCCTCTTTACCCTGAGATTTTCACCAATTACTACCCTTGGCTCTTACCCCCTTTCCATGGGCTTCCTAATCCAGATTCCTCCCTAGTCCCAGCTTGTCCCACATTCTGTGCCCATCCCTTTGTTTGATGTCTCCAGCTGCATTTTAACCACACTGGTTTCATGGAAGCAACAACTTTCATTGTTTATAAAGGGAATTGCACTTATTTGTCAGTCCTGGAATCAGATAATTCTTCCAAAGTTTTACTTTTGCAAATTTGCTCCTACCTTTAAGGGCTTCAGATGGCATTTTGTTTTGGCTCCCAATTTTGCATATAATGAATGTCAAGTAACTTGTTAGCTGAATAATAGTGTTAATGGAAACATCACTGATGTCCTGCCTCTAATTCTGGTACTACTATTTTCTTGGTTCTGTTTTAGGTTTACTGTATACAGAAAGAAATCTATTATCTGGATAAATTGGTCACCCCTTCTCTGAATTTTTTAGTATTTCTCTATATATCTTCCAATATCAGTAAATACATAGTAATAGTCCTTTTAGATATATTTGTGGTCTTCTGTCAGCTTTCTTGAACTCAATTTGATTTTATTTTATTTTTTCCCCCAAAGCCCCACTAGATAGTTGTATGTCATAGATGCACATCCTTCTAGTTGCTGTACGTGGGACATGGCTTCAGCATGGCCGGAGAAGTGGTGCGTCGGTGCGCGCCCGGGATCCGAACCCGGGCTGCCAGCAGCGGAGTGCTCGCACTTAACCGCTAAGCCACTGGGCCGGCCCTTGAACTCAATTTGAATTTACTCTCCATCTTTGCAGTTCTCTGTCCAGAGGAACCTGTGCTGTTCTAGTGTCACAGCGCACTATGATTTTTCCTGTGTGTGTGTGTGTATGTGTGTGTGTATGTGTATGCATGTGCAAGGTAAATGGCCCCAAGGTCTTCCAAGAGGAAATAAAAACTTTGATATTACCCTCCTTCCCTGTTTTGCCATTTTGATTCATAGCACATGGTCTTATTTCTGATGCTTCTTCTCGCCTTCTTTATTAGTCAGAGTTCTCTAGAGAAACAGAACCAATAGAAGAATAGGATA